GCAAATTTAAAACCAGCCACCAAAAACCGCCCTCCAGCGCGGGGGCAGGCAACCTTCCCCAGGGGGAATGAGGACCAGAAGCACGTTATCAACTCGGCTTCGCCTCGGCGGAGGGTGAATCGCCCGGACGGCAGAACTGACCACCGAGACATTTGTCAGCGAGATCTAAGCCCTTCGTAAAACTGCCCAACAAAGCAAGCCAGCGCAAACAATGAACGGCGATCAAGGCGCACGACTGGTCCCTGTGTACTTACCAAACCTCCTCATTCCCCCTTATTGCTTGCTTAGGAGGTTTAAGGCCTCTTGCAAAGATACATCAGAAAGGTTGGTGGGTTTGGGCTTTGTTTTGCTTTTTAACGAAAAGATTGGGGGTGGAAGAGTTGGGGGTAAGAAAGAGGAAGTTGCCCTTCACTTCGGAAAGAATCACTTCGAGTGAGAACTGACGGCCACCGATTCATAGCTGGAGACCAGCATTAATTATTTAACCGGTCACGTGACGCCCCTCGCTTTCCCCCTTCCCCCCGCCCCCCTTTTCAGATTAAAATTTCAATACTCCAGGAACAGAGGCAACACCTTTATCTGTCCTAGCAGAAGCTTTTACGTTGCTTATTGAGCCCTTATAATCTCTCCACTTTCTGAGTTTTTCCGTTTTCGAGGAGATCGTTTGGACATCAATAACGCAGGGTGGAAGGGGGAATGTCAAACTCAGGAAGAATGAAACAGGCAACCCCCACCCCCAAATCAGTCACTGGGATTCGAATTTGTATTGTCAGCAGCAGGTAGGGGCATAATTAGAAGCCCAGCTTCTTTATCGCAGCCAAGACACCGGGCAGAAGTGTTGGTGATAGGAGTACCAGATAGCCAGGCTCTTAAAAGAAAGGCTATCAAGTGCTTCATAATCCCCTTTTTAACGGTATTTCTTTGAATGATACAGAGGGCGATGAAATCTGGATTAACTGTGCAGCCTGCAGGAACGCTGGCACCTTTCTAGGAAGGGAATGCCTCAGCCTTTGGTCAAATCCAGAGAGAACCCTGTGGAACACCAACACTCCACTGAAATGGGATGTGGAAGGTATGAAAAGCTTTGGCCAGCAGATAACAACAATCCAAATTGCAATTAAGCTTGATTGGGCTGGAGCTGGACTAAGTTACAGCAGAGTTATTCTTACCTGCCTAGGAGTCAAGCCAAGCTCCTCTAAGTTCAGGCTTATGCTCGGGTAGGTGAGTATAGGATTGTGGTCATTGGCCACGTCAAGCCATCACTATGCTACTATCATCAATGAGAACAGGCTTTCTATCATTACAGCATGGCTGGATGATGCTAGAAGATGCTAGAATCAGTAGAGTGGAAATGGCTTTAACTGCACTTAGGTCTGATTGAAGTTAATGAGACAAGTCAATCAATGTCTCCCTCATGTAATTTGGAACTAAATATAACTAATTTAGTCAGGATCCATCCCACTGAATTCAGCTGGATTTCAGCAGAATCTGGCTTATTTTGTGCCAAAAACATATCAGGAAGGAGACGTAGCTAAGTTTTGGCCTGTTGGTGGCCAGCAGGTTCAGCTGTGATCCAAGCATGAGCTTAAGAGAAGTTGCCTCATTTCCATTGCCTGAAGGTTCCTTATGGAATGAGGAGAGTGTTAGATGCCTTTGCAGGTGGCCAGCTCAGACAAATCTGCAAAATTCCACAGGGCTCAAAAGTAGTGTCATCTTCATTATCTATCCATGGTTAACCCATTCGCCTTCTTAAGGCTAGTTAGATTTTTCCAGAAACTGTATTTGCTGAGGGCTAGAAAAGCTTCCCATAGCCAGGCACCTCTCAACAAGGAAGCTGGGGTCAAGAAAATCTTGAGGGCATCAGGCTAGGAAGGCTGAGTTAGAACCTCCCTATCAGGTGTCCTCCCTCCATTGCTTTCTCTTGCTATACAAATACAGGAAAAAAGCCACGCAGAGTATTCCTTTTGACAATCTGAAACATACTCTTCTGTGCCTGTCATAAATCACAGGGGAAGCTCCTCATTCTTGTTTATTGGTCTTCCAGTTGGTTCACACTAAGGTTGCTTTGTGTAATGGTGTCACTGCGATATTGATCTTTTTGTATATTTCTGTAGGGAGCAAGCTAAGCAAACAAAAGAGCACTTTTCTTTAATTTTTATTTAGGGGGAGGAAGGGGGGAAATCCCACTTCAAGCCAGCTCTGCAATCTCAGCAGAGGATGTAAGTCATGGACCAGGAGTGGTGGAGTGAGAAGAAAGCGGGGGAGGGGGGATCAGTCCCAGAACTGAAATAAGTTCAAAGTGGGGAGGGGAGCAAACAAGATGACAAGAGTAGAAAGTCAGAAAAGAGATGGCTGTACTTTGGTCAATCTACACCTTCATTCCTGCTTGGAAAGTGGAGACACCAGCAAACCACCAGCAACATGAAATATTGGGGAAAGGTTCAGCCTTCTTCTCCTCTTCCCATCCTCTCCCTCCCTCCCTCCCTCCCTCCAGCCATGCCGTGTACCCTAATCTTCTTGTGGCTGCTGACTAAAATGGCAGGCCATCCTTCTAGAGCCTGTATAGCAAGAATTCTTAAGGGTTTGAATGAATTCCACAAGCAGTGATTAAACAAAACAAAACAAAAATAAACAAACCTCCGGGTGCATACCACAAATTGGAGTGTGGAGGAGGAATAGCTCTCCTCCCCTGCTCTGGGTTATGTGGGAGCACCAGGCTTATGTTAGACTGTTTTGGGGGGGGCTCTTTCTTTCTTTCTTTCTTTCTTTCTTTCTTTCTTTCTTTCTTTCTTTCTTTCTTTCTTTCTTTCTTTCTTTTCCTATCTGCAACATAAAGAAACAGTCAATTTTGGAGTCCTCTTCCTTTATAACAGGGCAAAGATGTGTGCCTGTATATGTGTGTGAGGGAGAGGAGGAGAGGGAGGGGAGGAGGCCAAGAAAGAGAAGCATATTTAGGTCTGAGAGGCAGATTAGAAAGAATATGCCTTTAAAGGTCAAGGGTTTGATGGGTCAGTCTGCTTCTTTAAAAAAAAAAAAAAAAAGGCAATTAATGGGATAGAAAATGTGTCCTTTCGGTGAACTCTCCTCATTGCCCTGGTGCAGGCAGGACAATAGTAGGGTTTAAACTCCTACCCTGTTGTTTTTGGAATGATTGTAACATTAATTAGGCCAGGAAGGTAGAAGCCCAGGGCACTAACATACAACAACACAGCTTCTCTCCCCCATCCCTACCCCATTCTCAAGTGCAACTACATGCTTAAAAGAAAATGTGAAAAAATCCATAGAATAATTTTTAAAAATTACCTTGAATGATGACAATCTGCCATATGTATTTTTCCGCCCAGGTTCGATACTCCACCCAGAAAGTATACACTTTCGGAGCACAGCCAAGGGACTGTATCTTTTATACATGAACACATTTTCCCCAAGAAAATCCTTCGTGTCTTCGCAGACCTTTTCCAAGAGAATGCCTTTCAGAATCGCTGTTGAATTACAAAGAAGTATTTATTGTAGGAGGTGATTAATGATTCCCAGTAAAATTGCTATTTTCAGCGTGATTTCATTTCTAGTTTTTTTTAAACTACAGGGAAAGAGGGGGGAGGGAAGGAGGGCATCCAGTATAAGACCACGGAAGTAAAAGAGGATCCATAATCTTCTGCTTATGTAGTTGATTAAACATCTTGAGATTCCTCTTAATTTGGGAGTTTCTGTAAATTAGCAGAAGAAAAATCTTCATGCCAAACAAAGACTTTAAACAAAGACACTCAGGATAAAGGGGAAGGAGAAAAGCCTCCGGGTTTTCTGTCCTATTCTCTTTTATTTCATTGAAGAATTCAGGCCAGGCAAGTCTTTCAAGTTTTAAGGGAGACCCAGTTTTGGCTGTTCTGTTTGGCCTGGAATTTATTTTCCATAACAATATTGACATTCTAATACTGGCAATATTGTGACCCTCCCCAGCTCAAAAGAATCCTCATATTTTTAAATTAAATTTTGCCACTTCCTCCCTGAGAACTCTGCAAAGGCCCGTCTACCAGTGAAAGCTATTTAACTAAAAGCTAATTAAGTTTAATTACACCATATATATTTGCCACCCATCAGAAGACTCTTGTTCTAGATGCCAATAAAGGCCCTAATGTGTTTTGCTACTTAGAATAAGACCTCAAATTATCTTTAAGCTAGAGATTTTTCATATGTGCCCATTGCACAATCAAACCATTCAAAGGATCAGCTGTAAAACTGTTATATCAAGACCATCTTCCTGGCTCCACGGCCTTTTTCTCCTTCTCTCTCTCTCTCTGCATTATTTAGCATCAAGGATTCCGGTTTATTATAGTCCCCAAGAAATGGTGTGTTATTAAAACTGGAAGAAAAGTTGCTACACTAACAAATGAACAAAGGAAGATTCAGTTGCAATATGGTGTAAAGCATGCTAGTGTAATGATAAGAATAGTAATAATATTAATCATTCCCTCCAGTGTATTGAATCAGTTATACAGTCTGCATAGAGCAAGAAATAGTGATATACGCAGCACGAAAGATGAAGCCTCTGAACAATGGAAAAAGATTGGTTTTTGCATGATGGGTGAGTATCTATAGGTGTCATAAACTCAGTTGCCTACTTAAGAAGATAGGTGCCACAAGTTGCGTACCTTACAGACAGCCTACTTAACCCGTCATCCCCACCATAGTCCAGTGTATTTCAACAGGACTTGCTTCTACCTTCTTGGGCTCATAGGGGCCTAAGGCTTAGGTGCTGTATGAAAACCAGGACCCTGGAAATCAGCATGACTTAAAGAAGTAAATAATCTGATTTGGATTGGGGTGTTGATCCCAAATAATACTATTCATGATACTATTCGACTGTAATACTAAGACTCGGCCTTTACCAGCTAATGGCAAACCCTATCTCGGTGTGTGTACATTAGACACTGCAATACATCTACATGTTTAAATAAAAGGCAGCTACAGCATATCAACCAAAGTCCAGATCTTGGCAAATGCACACTTCTGGCAATGTGTCTAGTGCTTTTAATTTTATTTGTGTACAGAATATTCTTTATTAACAGCACTGGACATTATATTTATATATTTATATATATATACACACACACATACATACACACACACATCACACTTTCACAAATGCGTACATACAGAATTCACATATTGTTCATAGACTTGGACTGTGACATGACATGAATATAGGCTGAGCTTTTATAGCAATATTGGTGCATTTTTCTTAAAAAGAATAATAAATGCAACATTAGGGAGACTAACATGTCACAAGTGGAGCAAGAACTACACTTAAAAAAAATATTACTCTTGGTACATGGAAAACACCTTCTGTCAGCCAGTTAGGGATGAGGCTAGTTGGCCGCTGAGTGTCCCCCTCCCCTAATTTCCAAATGACTTCAGTGAAATCAAACCAGTTTACTTCTGCCTCTATCCAAGAGTCCTGGAACAAGCATTCCACAAAACAACACAAGCCTAGGATTTACACATGTCTCACAAAGTCACTTATCAACATTCTGTTGCCTTGAAACATCTATACAAATGATGATTTTTAAGCATTGGGTCCATCCACACCTCATTATATGGTGCAGGCATCTTCCATAAATTAAAAAAAAAAAAGAACATGGAGGGCAAAAGAAGGACATATTTACAGAGGATCAACACTGTCCAGAGCTTATATACTTTTTGGTTTGAACACACGTGCTCTTTTCCCACGGATTTTTGTTCTGCTGTTTCCCCCACTCAATACAATTGCTTCGTCCCCCGGCCAAAAGGAAAAAGAGGCGAGAATAGGCGGGGGTGGTGGTGTCCCTCCCTGTGTGAGTCGGGCCATCATAGTGAAGCTGAGTTTGAGGTGGCCCTGCTCCTGGGGGGCGGTGGGTGATGCTGGGCTGGAGCTTTGGTGGGCTGGTGGAGACCAGAAGGGTTGGAGGAGCGCATCTTGGTGTTGGGCAGTTTGTGGTCCTTCTTCCACTTCATCCTCCTGTTCTGAAACCAGATCTTGACCTGCCGCTCGGAGAGACACAGTGTGTGCGCGATTTCGATGCGTCGCCTCCTGGTCAGGTAGCGGTTAAAATGGAACTCCTTCTCCAGCTCCAGGACTTGTTGTCTCGTGTAGGCAGTCCGAGACCTTTTGGGCTCCCCTCCATTGTAACTGGGGTTGACTGAGCGTCCGCACATGCAGGCATAGGCGCGCATACCCAGATGCACAAAAGAAGAAGGCAAGGGAATGTTATCATTATTGTATCATAAATTCAACACTGGGCTCCTTGTTAAAATGGGAAGAAAAGGTTTCACAGGCTCTTGGCAAGAGGGGACAATTGGGGATCAATAGAAATGGTGCTGGGGCGTTTGGATTCAAGGAAAGCTTCAAAGACATACAGCCCAGAGCCACTGCCAGGGCTATTAAATTTATGGGGGCCATAATTACTGCCCTAACAGTTTGGCGTCTCGTAAATCTCTCGCTCAAGGGCCCCGCATACAAAAGGGGTTCTCACTGTTCCTTTCTTTCCGGGTGTCGCTTTACAACTAGGAAATGCGCCATCCCGCGCGCACCAGAATCCGAGTCCAGCCCTAGCCCAGCCTCCTGGACCTCGTCGCGCACTCTGTCCCCAGTCCCCCTGGAGCCAACTCACCCGTGCTCACGTGGATCTTCTTCATCCAGGGGTACACCACCGGCTCCTTCCCTTTGAGGCCGGGCGTGCTCTTGTCGGGCAAAAGGGGGCAGCTGGGACTCCCCCCGGAAGCTGCCCCCAGAGCTGCTTCGCAGGGATGCTGCTGGGGCTGAGGCGGTGGGCCGTGGCCTTGGAGCAGGGGCTGGGGGGCCACCTGATGGCCCTTCCGGGCAGGAGCTGAAGAAGCCGGCGGCGGCGGCGCGGAGGGGGGCGGCGAAGCCCTAGGAGCGGGCTTCCCCTGCCCCGGAGGGGCGCTGAGGCTGCCGTAGCTATAAGGCGACTCGGGGTAGTGAGAGGGCT